GATTCGAACCCGCCACCTTAGGTGTACGTGGCTGGCGCCTTAGCCGGTTGAGCTATAGGCGCCGAGCCAAGTTTTCTGGATTTGAATATGATATGGATGTGTATATACAAACCCTATAAGGTTAGGAATTTTGTCCAAAAGCATGCAAGCCAACAGTAGAAAGAAATCATCCACTGGTTTTAGGTAGACCTGGCTTTAAATCCCGTGACCTTGGGTAGATCCAAATCAACCTCTCTGAGCATTAGTTATTCTGCTTCTACAATGGCAATGTTAATATGAACCCCAGAAAGAAGTTGTTCTTGTTAAATGTGAGAATATATGTAAACCATCAGGTATACATGTACATCCTATGAATGTTAGCTCCTTTCCTTCTAGGCCACTACCCTTTAATATAGTTCTTGTGGGTCGCAACCTACAGGTTGAGAACTGCTGTTCTAGGCTGTATTTCTCCACAGTGCTTGGAACACAATAGGTATTAACAACAGGTTGGCAGAAGCAATGGTGTAAAGGGGTGGTTTTTAAAGATCAAGAGCAAAGAAAGAAATGAGTGACATAACTGAGCCTTCCCTCTCTATCGTGTTAACCTTCACCAGGTGTATAATGAGTTCATTCTGCCCTCCGAACGAGATGGATTCCTGAGCCGAATTCGGGAGATTATCCAGCGAGTAGAGACCCTATTGAAGAGAGACACTGGCCCTGTGGAGGCTGCTGAAGATACCCTAGGCCCCCAGGTCAGACACCTCTGGCCATCTCCAGGGGGAAATCTTTATTCTAGGGTTCATTACGTAGAAGCAGTCCCCTTGGATCTAACTCCTCTATCTCTAGGACCCTAAAACAGTATCCTTACCCCATTTGAGAATGTGATGAAAGCCATGTACCCTTCTCTGTGGAAAATCTGTTCAATGCATACTTTTAACTTATTATTTTGAAATAATTTCAGAGCTGTGGAAAGAAATTATAAGAATTACATAAAGAATTCTGGCTGGGCATGGTGGCTCATGCTTATAATCTTAGCACTCTGGGAGGCTAAGGAGGGTGGAATGCTTGAGCCCAAGAGTTTGAGGTGGCTGTGAGCTATGATGCCAAGGCACTTTACCCAGGATGACAGAGTAAAACTCTGTCTCCCCCCCCCAAAAAAAAAGAAAAGAAAAGAAAAAAGAAGGGTGGCACCTGTGGCTCAAGGAGTAGGGCACTGGCCCCATATACCAGGGTGGTGGGTTCAAGCCCAGCCTGGCCAAAACTGAAAAAAAAAAAAAAAGAAAGAAAGAAAAAAATAATTCCTAGGTACTTTGTCCGGATTTGCCAATTGTTAAGTGTTTTGCCACATTAATGTTATCATTTATGTTATCCCTTTCTTTGTGTATATATACTTTTTTTTTTGCAGTTTTCTTAGCCGGGGCTGGGTTGAACTCTCCATCCTCGGCATATGGGGCCAGCGCCCTACTCCTTGAGCCACAGGCGCTGCTCTATACTATTTTTTTCTAAGCCTTGTGAAGAGGAAGTTGCAGACATCATGCCCTTTTACCTCTAAACATTTCAGCACATATGCTTTTTATTTATTTTTCATTCTGTTGTTCAGAACACATAAGCACATAAGCTTTTGTATCCCTTGAAACTCATGTATGGACTCCTAGAGGTACATGGGTCCTAGCTTAAGAACCCTAGTCTGGGCTTGGCAGGGTGGCTCATGCCTCTAATCCTAGCTCTGGTAAGCCAAGGAGGGTGAATCACCTGAGATCAGGTGTTCAAGACCAGGTTGAGCAAGAGTGAGATCCTGTCTTTCTTAAAAATAAAAAATCTAACTGGGTATTGTGGTTGGCATTTGGCACTTGTAGTCACAGCTACTCAGGAGGCTGAGGCAAGAGGATTGCTGAAGCCCAAGAGTTTGAGGTTGCTGTGATGCTATGGCAACATAGCACTCTATCCAGGGCAACAGAGTGAAGCTCTGTCTCAAAAAAAAAAAAAAAAAAAAGGCTGGGTACAGTGGCTGATGCCTGTAATCCTAGCACTCTGGTTCAAGACCAGCTCTGAACAAAAGTGAGAGCCCATCTCTAAAAATAGCCCAGTATTGTGGTGGGGACCTATAGTCCCAACTACTTGGGAGGCTGAAGTGAGAGGATTGCTTGAGCCCAAGAGTTTGAGGTTGCTGTGAGCAAAATGCCATGGCACTCAACCCTGGGGCAATCCAGTGAGACTCTGTCTCAGGAAAAAAAAAAAAAAAGAAAAAAGCCTGGGCTCATGCCTGTAATCCTAGCACTCTGGGAGGCTGAGGCAGGTGGATTGTCCTGATTTCACAGGTTTGAGACCAGACATGAGTGAGACCCTGTCTCTAAAAAAACATAGCTGGGAGTTGTGATGGGCGCCTGTAGTCCCAGCTCCTTGGGAGGCTGAGGCAATAGAATTGCTTGAACCCAAGAGTTGGAGGTTGCTATGAACTGTGATGCCATGGCACTTACCAAGGGCAACAAAGCGAGACTCTGTCTCAAAAAAAAAAAACCACAAAAAAACCCAGGTCTGAAACCTTCTGTCTAAGCTTCAGCACTTATAGGCCTTTTCTTCCTCAGGAGCCAGTGCCATTGCCTGCTCTCCCAGGCCCAACCAGTGGTATGTGGAGTTCTGTTATTGCTCATCCCAAACCTTGGATTGTCCCTGGGAAGGGCGCAGGACATAGGCTGGCATCCTGTCATTCTCAACACATCCTCCTTCTCATCAGAGTTCCAGAGCGGCACCTCCCTGGAGCAGAGAAGCTGGGCAGCCTTCTGTACCTCTCCGTCTTCTCCTGGAACTCCCTTGTCTCCAGAAAGTCCATTTTCCCCTGGAATCCCCATTTCCCCAGCTCCTTTCTCCCCCATCACTTCTCCCTCATGTCATCCCAGCCCCTCTCCGTTCTCCCCCATTTCTTGCCAGGTCTCCTCAAATCACTCTCCACAACCCCCCAGATCTTTACTTCCTTTCTCCTCCAAGGCACCTGAGTTTCCAATCCCATCCTCTCAGTTTCCTCTGAGTTCTCTCCCACCCAGTTCTCCATCTCCATTCCTTCCAGGTTGTTCCCAAATCACCCTTAATCCCCCTTCTTTTCCTCCATGCCCTTCCACTTCTCCCCTTCCCTTCACCACAGCAGCCCCTCTCCTCTCTCTGGCTAGTGCCTTCTCACTGGCTGTGATGACTGTAGCCCAATCCCTGCTGTCCCCTGCTCCTGGGCTCCTTTCCCAGTCTCCTCCAGCCTGTCTTAATCCCCTACCCAGCCTGCCCCTTCCCACTCCCCTTGTTATTTGTGGCCAGGAGAGCCCTTCACCCCACATAGCTGAAATGGAGAGTGAGGTAAGTAGGAAACCAAGAGGGATGATTAGGGAAGCTCCATTCTGGATCTTTCCTCCCTCATGGACTCACACTTTATAGGCCTCCTCAAATCCCGCTCGGCCACTCCTGAGTGAAGCCAGACTGGCACCCATCTCAGAAGGTAAAGTTGCTGATTACTGACCTTCTCCTGCCCATTATCTCCAACCCACTTTATATCCTGGCACTGATTTCTCTCCTTCCTTGTCTCTCTGCAGAGGGAAAGCCTCAGCTCGTTGGGCGTTTCCAAGTGACTTCATCCAAGGAACCTGCTGAGCTTCTTCCTCTACAACCAACATCCCCAACTCTCTCCAGTTCTCTGAAGCCTCCAACCCCTCAGTCGACCTCGGAGAGCTCAGACACAGAGGATAGTGCTGGAGGTGGGCTAGAGACCAGGGAAGCTCTGGCTGAGAGTGACCGTGCAGCTGAGGGCCTTGGAGCTGGACTCGAGGAGGAAGGAGATGATGGGAAGGAACCCCAAGTTGGGGACAGCCCCCTACCCCTGAGCCATCCCAGTCCAGTGTGGATGAACTACTCCTACAGCAGCCTTTGTCTGAGCAGTGAGGAGTCAGAAAGTAGTGGTGAGGATGAGGAGTTCTGGGCTGAGCTGCAGAGTCTTCGGCAGAAGTGAGTCTGGGGAGGATGAAGGAACAAGAGGTGAACTTGGGAAAGCAAAGTGTATGGCTAGTCCTTTCATGCCCTTGGTATGTCCTCAGGCACTTGTCAGAAGTGGAGTCACTACAGACACTACAGAAAAAGGAAATTGAGGACTTATACAGCCGGCTGGGGAAGCAGCCCCCACCGGGTATCGTGGCCCCAGCTGCTATGCTGTCCAGCCGTCAGCGCCGCCTCTCCAAGGGCAGCTTCCCCACCTCCCGCCGCAACAGCCTGCAGCGCTCTGAGGCCCCTGGCCCTGGTGAGACTGCAGTTACCCCGCTCCCATCTTTCCTCTGAGACCGTGTCCTTACCAACTCGGTTTTCTTCCAGGCCCTGGGGGGTCTGCCCCTTGGTTTGAAGGGACTAGCTGCCCCCCTCCACTACCCCTTCCCTCATTCAGTGCTCTCCCTCCCTCGTCCTGCTCCCAGGCATCATGCGAAGAAACTCTCTGAGTGGCAGCAGTACCGGCTCCCAGGAGCAGCGGGCAAGCAAGGGGGTGACATTCGCCGGGGATGTTGGCAGGATGGTGAGGGCGGGCCCAAGGGAGGGAGAGCCCAGGGAATGGTAACTTGCTGCAGCTTTGCCCTCCTCCCACCTTGGAGGACTTCAGCATTTTTTCTTTTCCCTCCAGTGAATTCAGAACAGAAGCTATGTGTCTCCCTTACACACCAGGGCCCACCATGGAGCTTGAGCTCTCAGAATCTGATGCTTTTCTGACCAACACAACTCAGCAAGGAAGACCCCAGCACTGAAAGGGTAGAAGGCCAGGGGCACATGGAAAGTTCAAATCCATTATAGTGAAAAGCCAAACATGTGGGAACTGCTTGCTGTGTGGAGGTGTCAGTTCTGCAGCCTCCCATCTTCATCTCCACTCACTCCCCAGCCATGGGTCAACCACTAAGCAATCTCACCCAAGCCCAGATGCTTCTAGAGGACCCACTCCCAGCTGAGAGCGTGTAGGGGGTGTGCTCACACCAGAATTAGCAGCAGCCAATAAAATTGGTGGATACAAGGACTCTGTGAATCTGTATTTGTTGCACTTTAGGAACCTGGGGGGAAAGCCTTATGGGGTGAGGGAGGGGAGGATTTAAAAGGGACTCTCCATTCACAATGGGAGAGGAAGGGGAGTAAACTGGCCAGGTCTGTGGCTTCCTGGCACTGGTTCATGAGGAAACTGAAAGATCAGTGATCCACTTAACCAAGTTAAGATCCCCTCCAGAGATCTGCCTCCCCACCCTAGGCAGGCACCAGTGTAAGTTAAAAGAATGAAGGCTTTGTGTCTTTCATCAATCATCTACTTCTCTCTCTAGGGACAAAAAAAGGCAGTAGAGTTAATGTTCTTGAGGGTAAAGGACAGAAAAGTGACCTTGCTTCCCCAAGATGTGGTTCCATCCCAAACAGCCCAGTGAGCACTCCCTTAAATCAGGTGGAAAGATCTCATGGAAAAAGTAATTCTAGTTAAACATTTACAGCTCCCTGGGGCAATGCCACAGCTACTGCCCATGGAGCTTTCCAGCATAAAGTACCATGTAGTCTCTCAGCCCTCACACACTTGCTTGGCTCCAGGAGAGATGACTCAGTTTATTATTCTCAACTTGACCCTATCTTTCCCACTTCAGGCTCCAACACTGCACAGAGTTGCTACACCTATCCCCATTAACAGTTGTGACCCTGGAAGGTGAAGGTGATAAACTACAAAGTCAGAAACTGGGCAAAACCAAGGCTGTATGTAGATCCCCTCAAAGGAAACTAACTACAAGAAGAGATCAGTCACTGTCAAAGTGTGGGCAATGTTCACTTGACAGGGGCCAAATATGTAACTTCCAGGCTTCTCTGGCTCAGTCATCGTCCAAGGTTAATGTGAAGGCCAACGATGCTCTGAGCAGGCTTCAATTTCTACAGGGTCGTGGGGCATCAACTACTATACGAAGCTCTAGCAGGGTGGCGTTGTGCAATGCTCATCCAGATTAGGGTCCTGATGCCCTTGCCAGAGCTCGGGCTCGGGCGGCTTTGGCCTCATCTTCTAGCTCATCTAGGAAACGCTCCTGGGACACCGAGTAGAAGGTGTAACCATCTGGAGAGGTGGGTTCAGGAAATTATTTGGAATATGTACATGCTCTCTTCCTAGACGTGTTCTACTACCCCTTGTTACCCTCCCATACTCCCAAATCAGTGATTCCGGCTTCCGCCCACAGCTCTTTCTCAACTCTGACCCACAACTTTTATTATTAATAAATTATATTAAGAGAGTACCTTAGAATAACAAGGCACAATTGTACCCAAACCTTAAATGGCTACCTTGGCCCTCATAAACAACTCTGTTCCCCTACCCTTAACCCCACATGGGGTCTCCTTGAGTCTGGAGCCCGGACGGATACAAATAGCTAATACCAGGGCCCCGATGCCTAGGCCGGTCACGATGTTCCGGGTCCGGCGCTGTGGCAGCGTCTTCTGCCACTGGGCCAGTTGCACCTGCCGCATGAATTGCAGTTGCGCTGGAGTCAGTTTCTCTCGAGTCGGGTCGATGCGCTGAGCGAACGGGGCCTTTCCACTCTTAGCATCATCCACAGAGTCGCCAGCCCCCGGCGTCGCCATGTTGCCGCTCCACCTTTAGTAGTTTTGTGGCGCGAGGCTCGCTGGGAAAAGTACTCCTTGGCCGCCGCGTGGGATGCTGGGAATTGTAGTCCGCGTGCCCCTTTCCGGGAAGAGCCTCGACTCCAGGCCTGAAGAGAAGGGCAGAGAGAGGCGGGAAGCGGCTAAGCTTTCTGATTGGCTGACGGGTCCGCAGCCGTTGAAGAGGAAAAAAGCTGTGGAAGGCGCGAGGCGGTGGTAGGAATTGGGTTTTTCTCCAAGTTGAGGCGAAGACAAACACATTGGAAGGGGACCAGGACTCCAGGGTGTGCCGGAAGACTGGGGAGAAGCTAGGGAAGCCGGTTTATGCATCCAGTGAACCATCCAGGTGTCCCAAGAGGCTGGTGAATATGAACGGACCTGTGAGGCCAAGATTGGCTTCCCTCAGTGACTTTCAGTTTGGAGTTGTTGCCACTGAGACGATCGAAGACGCTCTGCTTCACTTAGCCCAACAGAATGAGCAAGCCGTGCAGGAGGCTGCGGGTCGCATGGGCAGCTTCAGGGAGACCCGGATCGTGGGTGTGGCTACAGGGCAGGGGGCCAGGTTTCGGGGAGAGGGGTTGGGACATCTGTCTTTGACCTTGAGATTCAGTTTATTTTATCCAAGCAAAGAATTTTTGTTAATACCTACTGTATGCCAGGTGCCAGGTATATAGTGATGAACAAGAGACACCAGCGGTTTACCCTTGATCTCTTCTACATGTGTACCGTACTTAGTGACACCGCCTGGGACAGAAAGATGAAATAGAGATGTAGTCCCTGCTTTCAAACCAGGTGCAATGTTTGGGGTATATTAGGACAAATAAGCAAAGGACTAGGTACAAATACAGTTAGGTAAGTGGCATAAAAGGGAGATAAAACAAGCTGTCATAGGGACAGAAAAGAGTGATGGAGTGCTAGGGAGTGGTCCAGGTATCCTGGCGTTTCAGGTAGACCTTGCAGGAAGGATGCCAGTTTGGTTGGTGAAGAGCGATAGCATGAGCAAAGCTATGGAAATGATACAGTGCAGTTTACCTTGGTCAGAGCATGAAGAAGGGTGGTTGAAGTTAAGACCAGAAAAGTGGTTTGAATTCAGACTGTGGAATCCACATGGAAGACTGGATGCCAAAGGGAATAGTTTATACTTGCTTTAGTAGGACAAGAAGAAATTGAAAGTTCTGAGCTGCACCTGTGGCTCAGTGGGTAGGGTGCTGGCCTAGGGTGACCAGATTTTAACATTGGTAAAGTGGGACAACATGGCGGGAGAGGGGCGGGACAGGGGACGAGGCAGGGCAGGGCCTGACAACAATGCAAACTTTGATAAGCAGTTCTCGATAATCACTTCTCAATAATTATTTGTTATTATTACAGTTTAACATTATAAAATTAACAAAAATAATATAAAACTCATATTCTGGTGAAATAGCCACATGGCAGCCGAAAACCGTATATTTCCTTCCTGTTTGTGCGTTCTTTCCAAAAATCGGGACTTTTTTAAAACGCCGCAGGACACGGGACAAATTGCTAAAAATCGGGACGTCTGGTCACCCTATGCTGGCCCCATATACCAAGGGTGGCGGGTTCCAACCCAGCCTCGACCAAACTGCAACGAAGGCATTGTGGCGGGCTCCTGTAGTCCTAGATACTTGGGAGTCTGAGGCAAGAGAATCGCCTAAGCCCAGGAGTTGGAGGTTGCTGTGAGCTGTGATGCCATAGCGCTCTACCGAGGGTGATAAAGTAAGACTCTGTCTTTAAAAAAAAAAAAAAAAAGGAAAGAAAAGAAATCAAAAGTTTTAAACTAATGGAGTAATAGGTCCACAACTTATGCCTTAGTAAAACTTATTTTGGCAGTGATATAAAGGGAGGATTCCACTAGAGAGAGATGGGAGGTAGGCAGACCAAGAGGTCTGTGTCAGTGATCTAGGTGATAGGGTAGAGGAATGACAAAGGAGGATGGCTTTTAATAATATTTCAGAGATAAAATCTAGGGTTCTGCTGTGGATGAATTTAAGAAGGAAAAGATGACTATGCCTAAGAGACTAGGAGTATAGTGGTGCCATCAAAAGAAATACACACGTTGCAAAATGTGATTTTTGTTTAGGAAAGATAATAGCTTTGGTTTTGGATCTACTAGGCTTCAGATGCTTACAAAACATCTAGAGGAAGGGCTCTTGCAGATTATTTAAAAAGTAGGTTAGAAGTGAGGTCAGAACTAAAGGTTTGCAAGTTGTCTTCATAATGATATTGTTGAAACTGTGGCAGAGAATGAACTTCTAGAAGGAGAAAAGAGAAGCAGCCCAAGGACAGTTCCCTGGGAAACGTATTTTGTGTTCAGAGAATTGGAATAGGAAGAAAAGCGTGAAGGAAATAGGAGTGGTTGGGGAGATAGAAACAATCAAAGGACTTTTAGAAGCCAAGAGTAGAGTTTCAAGAGGATGATGGTCAGCATTTTCAGGTGCTTCAGGGATATCAACAGGAATAAGGATTGCAAAAAGGCCATGATATTTAGCAATTTGGACACATTTGCTGACTTTTGAGATAATCATTTCACCAAGTTGGAGAAGGTAGAAGCCTAATTGAAAACATTAAGGAGGGCTCGGTGCCTGTGGCTCAAGTGGCTAAGGTGCCAGCCACATACACCTAAGGTGGCAGGTTCGAATCGAACCCGGCCCGCCAAAACAACAATGA